GGGTGTCCCATTGTCCCCACGGGGGGGCCCCACATATCACCCTCATAGGGGGGTGCTCTATTGTCTCCATGAGAGGGGTGCCCCCAAAATCCCTATCTGGGGGCCCACATCCCCACCGCGGGGGGTGGGCACATATCGCCCCCATCAAGGGGGTCCGCACTGGGGGGTGCCCATAATCCCCATCGGGGAGGGTCCACATCATCCCTGTCGGAGGGGGCTCTACAACCCCATGGGTGAGGACCCCTCGGGGGGGTCCCCATCGGCCCCATCAAGGGGGTGCCCCACTGTCTCTGTGGGAGGGAGTTCCCACCATCCACAGGGATCTGACCCCCCCTCTCCCTGCTCAGAGCCATTACTCCATCCAGAAGGGAGCCGCGTTCCTGGGCATCGGCACCGACAACGTTCACCTGGTGGCCACCGATGAGAGGTGGGAGCCGGGCTGATCCCGGCGGATCTGGGCTCTGCTGCCCTGGGCGCGCTCCACCACGGATCTGTTCCCATCCCGCAGGGGGAAGATGATCCCTGAGGAGCTGGAGAAGGAGATCCAGAAGGCCAAAGCTGAGGTGAAGGGATGCTGGCCCACGGTGCTCCCCTGCTCCATCCCAACGGCCCCTGTCCCATCCTGATGTCCCCTGTCCTGTTCCAACATCCCTTGCTCCACCCCAAAATCCACCACCCCATCCTGACACCCCTGTCCCATCCCAACATCCCTGTCCCATCCTGCCATACCCCGCCCCATCCTGACATGCCCTTGTCTCATCCCGATGTCCTGTTCTGTCCTGATGTTCCCTCAACATCCCCTATCCTGTCACCTATCCCATCCTGATGTCCCCATCCCATTCCAATGTCCCCTGCCCCATCGCAATGTCCCATCCCGCTGTCCCCTGCCCCATCCCATGCCCCATCCTACTGGTGCTGCATCCCATGTCCCATCCCACATCCCATGTCCCATCCTGGTGTCCCACAGGGTGCGGAGCCGTTCCTGGTGTGTGCCACATGTGGCACCACGGTGTTGGGTGCCTTCGACCCTCTGGGTGCCATCGCGGACGTGTGCGAGCGCCACGGCCTCTGGTTCCATGTGGATGTGAGCACCGGGACACACACACACACACACGAATCCCTTTGGAATCCCCCTGTTCCCAGCGCTGATCCCTATCCATGTCCCTGCCTGCAGGCAGCGTGGGGTGGCAGCGCTCTGCTCTCCAGCAAGCACCGGCACCTCCTGGCTGGCATCGAGAGGTCAGCGCCGCTCCAGGCTCCCAGCACCCCACAATCCCAGGATCCAAACTGGGGGGACCCCCTTTTCCCACAGGGCCCACTCGGTGACCTGGAAC